TAAAATAATTTGTTACAGCAAAATTGGTTACAGACCAAAATTATTCTCGAGCTTAGGTTATGCATAAGTAGAACCATACCAGAATGAAATATTAACCTTGCATTTTGCCGGCTTACAAATTCTAAGTGAATTTCATGGTCTCGGGAGATTGCCATCGAAGAGCAGATTGGTCTGGAGCCTTGTCGATTTCTCTCGGACTCCATCAAACCATATTGGAGCGGCGTCGTGTAGCAAGCATTTACACGCTAATTTCCTTCTATTACTTAGCAAGAGTGAGAGGCAAGCCTATCTGTTCGTCACAAAATTGAAGCCTCAATATCTAAGACCTATCGAATGCAAATGAGCTACAAGTCCTAAGAAAGAAGTCTGAGTTTTATCCATTGAACAGCGGCGCTATCATCTCGTCCATCGGCGAACAGCTCCAGAAATGTTTTGCAGCTTTAGACATATCGTGTCTATCATCACGTGTATGTAAAAGATGACTTATAACAGACATATCGCTCTCAGCATCAGTAAATGGAATGAGTTGGGTGTTATCTTGCAAGGTATCTATGGTCCCGTTGACCCTGATGCGTCAGAAATCGAACTCCTGCGTAGTGCACAATCTTTGCCCACGATCACCTCGTACAAATTAAATTTTAGATCAATACAGTTTCTCGACACTGATGAATGTTCATTACAACTTCTTACTAATTCCTGCAATACTACACTGTATCTGCATTATATTCTTGTTCATGCTGCTATGGAATAGCTTGGGCTCGTCCAAATACAACACGATGTGAGTAAAGCAATTATGAATGCACAAAAAGTACATTCCTGGGAAATAGAAATATCAAATAGTTTATTCTGGTACAATCTACTACGTAGTACTACTATGCACACTAATTATTAACACTTGGTCAGTCAATGGCTACTATGGTTACTTTGTCTTCCCCAAGTACGAATATACGAATAGTCACGCTTACTTTGAAGGCATTCGTGTAGATTAAATTTTTTAATAATCTCAAAATAGTCAACGATCCATATAGATTTAAATCTAGCAATGCTTCTCAGTTTTCATTTTCCTAACTGTAACCTGTTAATTCCATTTCAATTGATGGCTTCCATATAACTATAATCTTTATTATATTTGTATTAAATGATATTTAAACCGCAAGTGTTCATTCACAGCGCTAACTCATTCATTTCGTATGTCAATTTTACCTGGAATTGGTATGAGTTGAATGGTTTAAACGATCTAAAACTGACTTAAAGTTAAGAATAGGAAAGCGTGAAGTTATATCCCATCCCATCAAATACGAGGACTGAAGGCTGTGCGTTATGTCCGAACGTTTAACGGTACACTGAAAAGATAAAAATTTCATCCTGCGGCCATATTCAAACTTTGGAAACGGTGTTCAATTTAAATGAATTTTCCTCTTGACATTTTGTAATTTCCATATATTATATTATTATTAGAATATTATTATCATGTGACCGACTTTTTACGGCATATTAAGGTCAAGGGACCAAGTGTTTGCAGTATTGTCGGGTATATATATAAGGACGATGATTTTGAAAAGTTAGTGGATCGATTGGCGTGTAGACGGTAAGGTGGTCCTGACTTTTCAGGTAGGAGTAGCATTTTTTTAGACTTTAACGAATGCATAAGCTTATAGTATACATTATTATAAGTTCATTGCCACATCACTTAGGAATTTCATTGCCACGATGCTGACAACGATCATGGACTCGGAAAAACTAATATATATATTTGTCCGAATATAGCGTCCTAATTTCTGTTCGTATCACTGGTACACCTTATGGTCGGGCCAAACTGGGTCACAATTATTCACTCAAGGCAAAAAGTTAGCCGTTATTCAGACAAAGTTTCAGCCATTTCTCTGCGTGAATGGATGCGTAAGCTTTAGGCATAAGCATCCTATAGGCGCCGGCGATGATCTGGCGCGCGATTGGCGGGAGATTTTTTATCTGCGGGAGATTTTTTTCTATCCACCGCAGAGTTTTTATCTTCCGCAGAGTTTTTATCTTCCGCAGAGTTTTTATTTGCTGCAGAGTTTTTATCTTCCACAGAGTTTTTATCTGCCGCAGAGATTTTATCACCACAGAGTTTTTATCTTCCACAGAGTTTTTATCTTCCGCAGAGTTTTTATCTTCCACAGAGTTTTTATCTTCCGCAGAGTTTTTATCTTCCGCAGAGTTTTTATCTTCCGCAGAGTTTCTATCTTCCACAGAGTTTTTATCTGCCACAGAGTTTTTATCTGCCACAGAGTTTTTATCTGCCACAGAGTTTTTATCTGCCGCAGAGTTTTTATCAGCCGCGGAGTTTTTATCTGCCGCAGAGTTTTTATCTTCCGCAGAGTTTTTATCTGCCGCAGACTTTTTATCTTCCGCAGAGTTTTTATCTGCCGGCAAGAAGGTTCTTATCCTCAGGGGGACCGCAAGTCCGTCTAAGTTTTGGCACAACTTTCATCTCGATCTGATAAAACCCAATAAAAAAACCTTCCCTTATAACCCTAACTTAGTTTGTTGTCGGCCCATAGGCACATATTTGATGGAAATTTCGACAGATTTTGTTAAAAAAGAAATGTAAAGTGCAAATTTTGGTTAAAAAATAAATGAGTTCCACCGTAAGCCGATATAGGGGGAAATTTAACAGATGTGCTAAGGAATTTCGAATTGTAAACTTCTAATTACCTAGTAAATGGAAACATCATACATTGTCAATTCAACCATTAGTATTCATTAATTAAAGATGCAGCAACGCTTTCAACAGAACTAGGTATTTTAGTGTATGTGCCCACTCCTTATTCATATTGTAGCGTTTCACATTCTGAATTTATTTTTACACAAAAAACGCTACTTTACCGTAAAAAATAACCGTACAAAACCTCATTTTATACAAGCAACATGATGTTAACTGCTTATTTATATCGTAGCGTTTCGCATTCTGAATTAATTTTAATACAAAAAACGTTGTTACCTTAAAAAACGTTACAAAACTTTATTTGTATACAAGCAACATGATGTTGACTGTTTATTTAGCGTTTCACATTCTAAATTCGCCTGATGCATCACATGAAACATTATTTAGCCTCATTAATTTCTCTAAATGTCGCTAAATAATGTCGCTATTAATTAATGTCGCCATTGTACATAACAACGTTAATGTCGCTATTGTGCATAACAACGTTAAAGTCGCTATTGTGCATAACAACGTTAATGTCGCTATTGTGCATAACAACGTTAAAGTCGCTATTGTACATAACAACATTAATGTCGCTATTCACCAAAGTTTAAAAAATCCAACAAGAAAAAGTGTCGGAGCAGTAAATCGTAACGAGGCAACATGCAAATTGTGGCGACAATTGGAAGAAATGGCGGCGACGAGGGCTTCTTGTTGCCAGCTATCGCGGCAATCTGAGGGAAGGCCTTATCGCGCCTGCCAGCCCTCGCAGCCTGAGGGGAAAGACGAGGGAAAGGGAAGGGTGGGGAGGTGCAGTAGGAAGTGATGGAAGGATGGGAAAGGGTTTGGGAAGAAGGGCGATAGTGAAGATGTGAAGGTGAGGGAAGATAGGAATGGAGGCATGGAAATGAGGGGAATGGGCAAGGAGTGACGGAATGATGGTGAGAGGATGAGGGATGATGACGAAGGAAGGGAAAGCACGACGTAGAGTGGAGGAAGAAAGGTCACAGAGGAAGTGAAGTTTGAAGGTTATTGTTGAAGGCGTGTAAAGACTGACGAGTAAAGGGAATAAATAGAGAAGGCTAGTGAAGAAAATAGTGAACAGAATGAAAAGGAATGGTGCGTCTTAACAACAATACGAGAAAGCTTGAACGTAGTCCAACAATTAATCTACAATGAAATCAAGAAACGTAAGTGAATAAGTTATATGTTACTCATATACCAGAAAGTAAATGCAACCACGAGCAACCATATTTTCCAAAGCGCTGTTCCAATAATTCTTATTGTCGATTTTGAAACACCTTTATCTCTTACAGAAATTTGCAGACTTTATCATTACACACAATTACTAAATTACTATTTAGTATCCTGCACTATTTCTTCTTTCATTAAAACATAACTTCAAGAAGGCGAATCTAAAAAACAAAGTCGTGGCAATTTGTCTGTTTTTAGCCTCCCAAGTCATCCACAGGATGCGCTTCCTCGCAGTTTCTTAATCCGATAACCATCGGCAAATTCCCGTAATTACATGACGGTATCAAATAACAACTAAAGCGCATTGCTTGTATTTGGCCAATAGACTCAATTACTCGCTTTTTCATGGCCACGTCAATCAAGATAAGGAATAACCCGACGGCAGGAAAAATGTCGAATGCGTTCATGGGACGCGAGAAGGTGAAGACCAAGCGTCCATAATGGCAGTGTTTCATTACATGAATCTAGCGAATAGGTGTTTAGGTGTGACTGCAGGCGGTGGTTGAGGCGTTATAATGGAGCTGCGGCTTATCTTTAGTTGGCCAGTGCTCATGCTATGGCTACCTGGGCTTCAGCATGACAATTTAGCGCCGCTCAAGCGTGAGCCTGGAGACCTTTTTTGGTCCAAAGTTTGAACGCAACGCGCTCGTCCTGATGCTTTCGGAGCTCTAGCTCGGAGAACATGCAGTGCAGCTGAACATGTAGTGCCTTGCAGTGACTTGCAGTGTCTTGCAGTGAACTGAAGCAGTGATATCCAAGCTTATCAGCTGAATATGCAGTGGATTGCAGTGAACTGAAGCAGTAACTACTAAGCTACAAGAATATACCATAAAAAAAACTTCGAAGAACTCCAACATCCTTTCCTAAATATCGTCCACATCCTTCGTCCACATAATGTTCGTCACGGTGAATGTTGCCTCATGTGCGAATGATGCTGTCAAATTATAATATAATATAATATAATATTATATAATATAATATAATATAATATAATATAATATAATATAATATAATATAATATAANGTCCGGCGCTGCACGTCATCATCGTCGCTGCTGCAGACGAAGGTCCGGCGCTGCACGTCATCATCGTCGCTGCTGCAGACGAAGGTCCGGCGCTGCACGTCATCATCGTCGCTGCTGCAGACGAAGGTCCGGCGCTGCACGTCATCATCGTCGCTGCTGCAGACGAAGGTCCGGCGCTGCACGTCATCATCGTCGCTGCTGCAGACGAAGGTCCGGCGCTGCACGTCATCATCGTCGCTGCTGCAGACGAAGGTCCGGCGCTGCACGTCATCATCGTCGCTGCTGCAGACGAAGGTCCGGCGCTGCACGTCATCATCGTCGCTGCTGCAGACGAAGGTCCGGCGCTGCACGTCATCATCGTCGCTGCTGCAGACGAAGGTCCGGCGCTGCACGTCATCATCGTCGCTGCTGCAGACGAAGGTCCGGCGCTGCACGTCATCATCGTCGCTGCTGCAGACGAAGGTCCGGCGCTGCACGTCATCATCGTCGCTGCTGCAGACGAAGGTCCGGCGCTGCACGTCATCATCGTCGCTGCTGCAGACGAAGGTCCGGCGCTGCACGTCATCATCGTCGCTGCTGCAGACGAAGGTCCGGCGCTGCACGTCATCATCGTCGCTGCTGCAGACGAAGGTCCGGCGCTGCACGTCATCATCGTCGCTGCTGCAGACGAAGGTCCGGCGCTGCACGTCATCATCGTCGCTGCTGCAGACGAAGGTCCGGCGCTGCACGTCATCATCGTCGCTGCTGCAGACGAAGGTCCGGCGCTGCACGTCATCATCGTCGCTGCTGCAGACGAAGGTCCGGCGCTGCACGTCATCATCGTCGCTGCTCGACAGCCTCGTCCTTTGTGCGGTCGTCACGGCGGGGCGGCGGACGCCTGTATGTGCTGATACCGTTTCAATATCCGTCAAAAAGACAGCGGCTTTTGGCGCCCAAAAAAGAGAATTTTTCTGGAAATCTGGCGAGGGAAATTTTCTTTAGCAATGGTCAGGGAGATCGCGCTGCCGATAAAATGCCAAGGATGTTTGCACGACACAAAATACAAACACTCGAGCTTCATTTTTACGCGTGGAAAGCGCGTGATTTGTTCGAGGAGTCACGCAACTATAAAAACTGAGAATAAATATTTTAGTTTAGAGGAAGTTCATGAGATGGTCGCTTGATTTATGATCTATTTATATTTAGTTTCGTATTGTGGAAGTATTGCATGAAAATAAAGGAATTTCTACTTCGATTATTACTGCAAAATAAGTATAAAATGGATAGTAAATAATTATAACCAATCTTTGCGCCTGTCGTGGTTGCGATATTGTTCTTTTTGACCCCCGTTAACCAGCATTCATTCTAACCACCACCAGCATCATCAACGTTACCCTACACAACCAACACCACCACACCATTCCACCACTATCACAACACCACCCCCTCACTACCACCACACCACATCACCACCACCGCACCTCAAGCCGTCACTGTGCGGTCAGCCGAAGAAAATACTGAAATAGTTTCAGATTGAATTTTGTTATCAGCGCCGCCACGCGGGATATGTGCGAACTTGCGTGGTGGTGGTGGTGATGGTGTGGTGGTGGTGACGTGGTAGTGGTGGTGGTGTGGTGGTGATGGTGTGGTGGTGGTGACGTGGTGGTGGTGACGTGGTGGTGGTGACATGGTGGTGGTGACGTGGTGGTGGGACGTGGTGGTGGTTACATGGTGGTGGAGTGTTGGTGTTGTGTTGTGTTGGTGGTGGTGAAGTGATGGTGGTGAGTTTGTGCTGTGCTGTTGTTGATTGGGTGGTGATGTGTGATGATGTTGTGTTGGGGGTGAGGTGATGTTGCATTGGTAGTGATGACGTGTTGGGGGTTGGTTTGGTTGTGTTATTCAGTGGAAATTTTTTTGTGTAAAGCTTCAACGACGTTTTCGAAAAGACTCGCACTTAATTAGCAGGCTACAGATGGGGTGGATCTGGATGACGTTTGGATCAAGAGAAGAAGAACAAATTATCCCGCACTTCAGAGCCCATGTAATCCCTATCCTTGAGTACTGCTGCCAGCTCAGGACCCCGTTCACACTCGGGGGAGTGCTGTAACTGGAAAGGGTCCAGCAAACTTTAACCTCCATGATCAAAGGGATGGAGGGATGCTCCATCTCTTTGGAGGGATGGAGGGATCCATCCCTTTATTAAACTACTGGGTGAGGTTGCAGCGACTTGGTCCGCACTTACTGCAAAGGAGATGGGAGAGGTATTTCATTCTGTACACACGAGAAATAATGAACAGAATGGCACCAAACTTCGGAAGCGAGACCTTCAGGATTGGAACATAACATCTAGCGAGCGAGAGAAGAAGGAGACTGCAGGATTCCCCCACTACGTAACAGATCTGTGATCAATTTTTCTGATTTCTTTCCGTGGCGGTGCCGAGGCTGTTTTATATCTTGAAAAAGATATATGATAAGGTTAATTCACCATGGAGACACTCGAGAGACGACGTGACTGTTACTTTGGACATAATTCCTGATCGTCTGCCTCTGCACCACTATACCTATATACAAGCGGCGAGAAGCAAGCAACTGCATTGGTCATCAGCTGGCCCAAATGAGGGCGGATGCGCGGTAGTCAGAAGCGGCGATTCATCGTGGCCTGGGACTGCTACATATTCTACAGACAATAATGCACGCACACCATGAAGTGCCCCTGCGCTAACCTTCACTCGGAAAAATAAGTGAGGCTTTTTTTCAAATCGTTATACCCTTCATGATTGTGATCGAGCGGGACCGATCACTTATTTATGACATCGAACACACACGCCTCGACATGATCAACACAAGACGGTGATCACACACACCTCAAGATGATCAGCACAAGACGATGATCACACACGCCTCAAGATGCTCAGCACAAGACGATGATCACACACGCCTCGATATGATCAAAACAAGACGATGATCACACACACCTCGACAGGATCAACACAAGACGATGATCACACACGCCTCGAGATATTCAACACAAGACGATGATCACACACGCCTCAAGATGATCAACACAAGACGATGATCTCACACGTCCCGAGATGACGAATACAAAAGTCTCTGTCAAGCGGACGTGTCAGGCGAGCGTTGAAGGCATTCATCGCCACACTTTGTTGGCCCCGCAATTGTCAGCTCGAGATAAGATGAGCATCGCTGATAAGCTCTGAGAAATGACCACGAGACCTCCTCATTAACCCTTCGCTCACACTCGTTTAATCCATCGCCATGCTATTCCTACCGCAATTGTTTACCTAATTTTGTTCAATAGGGCGACAATGATCAGAATGACAGCTGACAAATTTCTTTTAGGTTCCTGAAACGAAGGTGAATATGCGAGAAAAAATTCTTTTAGAATCTGACAAAATCACCTTATGTTTCATAATGTCAGAGCAATTTTGAGTGTTATCTATATCTCTATTGATTTCATTGAATCTTCTGTCAAGATATATTTTATTTCAATTTATTTTGTGCATGCGGTGATCTGACTGAGTGGCTTATATTTTAAATGGAAGATGCTTAATTTTGCATGATTTTTCTAGAGTTTTCCCCCAATTAGTGGAGAATATCATGGATTTCTGTTATCGATTGCGTTAATACCCTGAAGGACTAAGCCGAGCCCAAAAAATAATTATACATTAGCTTTGTATCAGAGATTTTTCAATAAGGTTCAGAACGACAATAACTAGCTCGAAGCGATCATTCCTACCTCTGCCGGTAATTATTATCGTGAATTTTAATAAAATAATAAAATAATTATAATTTCTATATTAAAGTATCCAATGGAATTATCTTGGCCAAACCTAACCTAGCTTAACATCTTTGTTCTCAAGCCTACTTCCCTGCCTTCCTTGCTTTATTGCGACACCGTTTTCTGAACGGCAGCAACAAAGTCTGCTGAGGCTCACACGACCTCAGCAAAGTCTGCTGAGGCTCCTACGGCAGCAACAAAGCCTGCTGAGGCTCACACGGCAGCAACAAAGCCTGCTGAGGCTCACACGGCAGCAACAAAGTCTGCTGAGGCTCACACGGCAGCAACAAAGTCTGCTGAGTCTCACACGGCAACAATTAAAGTCTGCTGAGGCTCACACGGCAGCAACAAAGTCTGCTGAGGCTCACACGGCAGTAACAGAGTCTGCTGAGGCTCACACGGCAGTAACAGAGTCTGCTGAGGCTCACACGGCAGCAACAAAGTCTGCTGAGGCTCACACGGCAGCAGCAAAGTCTGCTGAGGCTCACACGGCAGCAGCAAAGTCTGCTGAGGCTCACACGACAGCAGCAAAGTCTGCTGAGGCTCACACGACAGCAGCAAAGTCTGCTTAGGCTCACACGACAGCAGTAAAGTCTGCTGAGGCTCACACGGCAGCATCAAAGTCTGCTGAGCCTCACACGACCTCAGCAAAGTCTGCTGAGGCTCCTACGGCAGCAACAAAGCCTGCTGAGGCTCAAACGGCAGCAGCAAAGTCTGCTGAGGCTCACACGGCAGCAACAAAGTCTGCTGAGTCTCACACGACAGCAGAAAAGTCTGCTGAGGCTCACACGGCAGCAACAAAGTCTGCTGAGGCTCACACTGCAGCAGAAAAGTCTGCTGAGGCTCACACTGCAGCAGCAAAGTCTGCTGAGGCTCACACGGCAGCAACAAAGTCTGCTGAGGCTCACACGACAGCAGCAAAGTCTGCTGAGGCTCACACGGCAGCAACAAAGTCTGCTGAGGCTCACACGACAGCAGCAAAGTCTGCTGAGGCTCACACGACAGCAACAAAGTCTGCTGAGGCTCAGGCTGGCCTCATCGGGTCATCTCGCCGTCACAACGCTAGGCCAGACAGCTGTCGTGCTGCACGTTTGTATTCGTTAACGTAAATTGAAAGCCAGCCACGGCGGTCAGATCAACGCGGGTGCCTGCTAGGCAGTGCCTGTGCCCTGTTGAACTTGAACGTCGATGTGTAAAGTGGATTCTTAATTGAAAATTATTTTCGGTTTACGACCGAACTTTGACGAAGGATGACTCTGCAGAAGACGTTAGTTGTAAAACGAATAAGCAAGTTGAAAATTGACCACTTCGAGAACGACGAAAAACGATGACCCCCATCGCGAAAGTTGTTCATGTATGACGATAAAAGCAAAAATAAATTTATTAATTACTCATGGCATCGGTGAGCGCCCCAGAATTACAATGTCGAACTCATCCCAGTGATATACGTTATTCTTATCACCGAGACATAACTCTAATCAAGAGCAGGTGTTTAAAGCTAATCTCGAACTCTTGAAGACGAATGTCCCTTAGGTTTATTTTCGAGCGACAGACACTAAAGAGAAAGACCATTAACGAGCGAGTTGCACTGATAACTCGGCCTCTAATAGGGCAGTCGAGCTCGGTGTAGCTCAGCTCTGCCATGTCCTCGCCCTTGTTGCTCCAATTTATGTGCACAAATACATTTATTGCTCAGCCATACGCTGCTTAACCCTTCACCGCTCAAGTATATTATCTAGTTAGGTAAGAATAACATTAGAACTTTAGTTAGCAGACATTAGTCTGCAACTCCAAGCCGTTAGCTTACCCGCTGCTGAGCCTTCTATTCCACGTCTGAGCTTCCGAATTTTAGGATTAAAAATGCGAGAAAAATGAAAGAAAAGTAAAGTTAATCGGACTTCCATCACATTCAATGCGTATAATTCGTAATCGGGGCCCGGGCTATAAAATCTATTTACGATTAAATTTCTTTAATGTTGACTAATTTATTAGTTCGCGTTAAACTCATCAACATCATTCAAATGTATCATCTAACTCTAACCCATGAGAGTAGAACTAAGTTTGTCCACGTCAACAGTCGTAAGCTTAAAGAAAGTTCGTGTTCATCACAAGACCAATGAACAAATTACCTTGCAGATATCTCGAGCGAGTCTCTTTTGAATGGTAATTGTCCATTGAAGAGTCGTGGTCTGATCCTGTAGCTGGAAATGTGTATCTGCCGAGACGAATTACTCTTGCCGAACACTTATGTCGGGGACGATAAGCCTTCACTTATCGATGCTGTGTTCCTTTGTTGCGGGAGAGCTGATGCGTTTTGGGTTGCAAAGTTACTTAACAAAGAATAGAAGCCCTGTCGCTTATCACAGATCTGCTGCAGGACATTATCTACCTAGGCATATACCCCCTAGGAAAATTGTACGGTGGTCGTCTCCGATTAGCTTAAGATTTACATCAGGGTTAATGTGCACGAATCCGGCACTTCGTAAGCCACTTGAAGTTCGGAACTCGTCTCAAATACCAGTTTAAGCGCAGCAGCGCATATTAGTCTTTAAAACAATTATTATAAGTCAACTATTCATCTGATATGTTTCATCAGATGATATGTTTCCTCCCCCATGTAATTAAAAAATCTCTTTAGTCACTAAGATACTAAGAAAGATCTTTTTCCAAAAGATACGAAGAAAGTTCTTTGTCCCAAAGATCCTAAGAAAGATCTCTGTCTCAAAGATACTGTGAAATATCTTAAAAACCACTAAGATATTATGAAAGATCTTCTATGTCACAAAGATGCCATAAGAAAGATCTTCATAGTTGGGCTGACAAGGGGTCATGATATCACGAACGGTTCGCCACTTTGGAATACCAGACCTTCATCAGTTTCGGGACCCCGCGTAAAGGCCGCAAGGGCCACATCATATTGAGCTCCACCCTCTCATTAGGAACAGTTTCAACCAAATTCCCAGCGCACACATCGACGAGTCAGTGTGAAATTTTCCCTTGGCTTCGAGAAGGAGAAGAACAGAAGCGTTGGACGAGCATTATCTTGGTGATCAGCAAAGCTGGCTCGAGAACAGTTATCACGCCGAGAATCGGTCTTTCTTTACGAGTTTCTTGGCTAGCTATGATTTGGTTCGGCCGTACGTCTCGCGGCTCTGTTAGCTACCATATCATGATAAATCTGAAGACAAGCGCTCAGCATCACGCCAGCTTTGGGTGCGCCTCTATATACTTTGCTCGATCTCAATCAGCCATCGAAACAAGCGCTCGAGCAACATTTGGTAATTTCAACCTGGAAAGGTTTCGTGTGGAACGAAGTGTTGAGAGATGGGGTCACTGATAGGTAACTTCTATTGATTTGATCTTGAAGACCACAGACATAGCAATGGCATGCATCTGCTCTAACCTCATACGGAGAGAGTGAGATAGTGTTTTGAGATACGCCGAAGAAGGCTAGTGGAAGATTTCTTCTAAGATGCTCCACATCACCGCACGCATAAAGTCTAACTCTGCCAAGACGTTTCCTTCAAGTGTTCTTCCTCAGTTCCCATACAACGATATGCTAAAATCGACTTCTGCGCTTAAATTGACACTTATCACATTAACTTAACAGTTAAAGGTTAATATAATTTTACGAACGTCTTGTTGGTCTTTTACGGCAGTGCTTGATTCTTGACATAGGATTTTAGTCTCATGATTTTCAATATAATTTGTGATTTTCGCAACTGATCAATCCTTTCAGAAATTTAATCAATTCAACGATAATTTCCACTTGAACGTATCATTTGATACATTATGTACCTTCAACAGTCAAAATCACAAAGCCAGAGCCGTAATTACGTTTTATTTACGAAGAGATTAATACAGCCATAGTAATATTATATATAGGCACTTTGGTAATTCAACAAAGCCGTCGAGTTTTGCTTTAACTCTCCCAGCAAACGAAGCTATCATGGTGCTGCAGAAGATGAAGCAAAATCCCCCGGGCTCGATGAGCTCGGGATCTAATTTCACAGCGAACGCCTCGAACATCCTGCGACGATAGCTGGTGGCGGAGTCCTAGCAGATCCTGCAGACTGCTTGGCGCTCGAAATGAAATTGTAACTTTTGTTAGGATAGGCCTGGAGCTCCGGATCTCTAAATCCTCTCAAGGCTAATCCTGCTTCCAAATTATGAACTGTTGCTCTGCCTGTGACGCCAATAATCGTAACCTGAATTAGAGGATAGTTAAGCTCTTGATGGAGTTCGTAGGCAGAGCGTTGGACCGTGCAATATTTCCGATTGCAAGTTTGCGAGAAATCCTGAAATTAATATAATATATAATATATGTATGAAGTTTCCACATTTGTTTGGCTGTTGGAGACTGCACGACTACGTGATAGAAGTCTATTAAATTATGAAAAATATCCTCTCTCCGTATTAATTATTTTTTAAATAATGGCAGAGGGTGAGATGGTTCAGATAATTAAGCTAGTCTGGGCTGAAGGAGAACAACCAATAAATAAATAGAAACGGCACGCCTGTTTGTCCCAAGTACCTGCATAAATGGAGCACAGATTCTGTGTTCACGTACCAATTATGCGTACATCTCAGGTACGAACGTACGTACTTCTTTTACGTGCGTACCACCACAGCCAAGTACGTTCTTACGGCCAGCTAGGTACGTCGTACATACAAGTACGTTCTAACGGCCCAGATACGTCGTACTTTCTTATGGGTCCATACGTCGTACATACGTCGTACGTTCTTATCGGACCGTTATGTTCTTACGGGCCAGTTACATGGTACATACCAGGCACGTTCTCTCGGTACATAAAAAATATCCGGTATGATTTTACGGCGAGGTACGTGCATGCAGCCCTGGAACGCGCATCTACCACTGCTCATGAATTTAACTTAACAAATTCTCCGATTTTTTGAACTATGAACTACGTTTCTTGGTGCCATCAGATGCAAAATTAACGGGTTGTAATTTTAGCATCACCAGATGCATCACTGCTGGCTTATAAATTTTTATTATTTTCATTCATTTTTTCTTCAAGGAGCGGTAGGAGAGGTCTAACTTATTTGTTTAAACTGACCAGTTACTTTGCAGCAAGAATGATTCATGTTTAGTGTTGTATGTATATTATATAGTATTTATTAAATACTATATATTTCTATTTGATGTTCAATTATGTCTAGTTTCGGTCGTCTTTCATGATTGCACAGAAATAAGGACTTTTTGGTAAACATGGATCGTTTTAGAATTAGACCTGTTTACGTGCAATGAAAATAGTGAGTAAATGACATAGATGAAGAGCTGCACTTGATGATAATTTCAACTCTGATGCCCGCGTGAATCTATGTCTAAATCCGTGTGAATTCATGTCTATGTTCTCGGGAATTCATATCTAAATCCATGCGGATTCGTGTCCATGTTCGCGTGAATCCATGTCTAAATCCATGCGGATTCATGTCCATGTTCTCGTGAATTCATATCGAAATCCACGCGGATTCGTGTCATGTTCGCGTGAATACATGTCTAAATCCACGGATTGATAACTAAGTAAATATATTTTTGTTCACTCAAGACTCGCATCACGTTTCCGATGGATCCATGACTGCGTGAATCCATGTCTAAATCCACGGCATGTCCACCAAATAAAATATATTCTTGTTCACTCTAGACTCGCATCCATCGTTGCGCAAAAGCTGGCGGAGCAATACATGCTATAGTGTGGCTTACCAGTCCACGATAACCATCAAACTCTGCAAGAAAAACGACTTAGGCTTGAAGTCCGTCATGATAAGGGGCCGTCTCGTCGAGGATGATACCGCTTTTATGCAGTCTTTCTAAATGACAATACTCTTATCGTCACAGGACTGACGCGTTGCTTCATTACTCTACAGATTTCAATTCATTGTCGCTCTACACTCTGGAGTGTGATACGCATCAGCGAGGCTTGCGAACCCCAACTTGATTGCGCGTGTAAATTCGAGAAGTTTTGGAGACAGCAAACCACTTATCTTGTTCACAAATCTGGCAACTTCGTCGCTGTACATGTTTGGCTCTATAATTTAACGGTATTTTTCTCTCTGTAAACACAAGCAAAGAAGTCAAGTGAGCTCAATATGACCTCCGAAGCCACATTCGATCGAAGAATAATGACGGCTTTGATACGGTGCTCAGTCTTGCCTTGGCACAATCGCGACCACCATCAGCTCTCCTCCAATCAGTCACTGAACGTCGTCGATTTGCTGCTAAAAAACAAGATTATAATGCAGGGGGAAATTATCTTCCTTATTTTTGCACGCGGGATAGACATGAACTTTCTGTTCCGTTTAGTTTGCTCCTTTGTACGCCATTAAAGCAATGGCTAGCACGAAGAAACATGATTATTTCGATGTAATTCTAATACTAAAGTTTAATTACGAAAACTGTTAGCAGTAAAAGTGTAGCACTGCGAGAATTTGTTCGTCTTTGCGATGGGATTTAACATATAAGAAGAATTTATGTTGTAAAATTTATGTTTTACAGCATAAAGGAAAGTTATGTTATATAATTTTCCTAATTACAATTAAGAATTTTCCTAATTAGCAATTAGGAAAATTATGTTATGTAATTTTCCCAAGTACAATCAAATTCCGTAAGGTCGGTAAGGATGAATGAAAATCTAAATTTGTTCTATTTTCACCTCTGACTTTCATATGTAATTTAGGAAAGCCCAATATTCATCGTCCGCGGTTATCCACGTAGGCTGGTATAGCTACGACCGTTTAGTGGAGCCTGCGCACTTCAGTATCGTGTTGCCATCATACATCTTGTTGCCATCATACATCTTGTTGCCATAATACATCGTGTTGACATCATACATCGTGTAGCCATCATACACCGTGTTGCCCTCACACATCGTGTTGCCATCATACATCGTGTTGCCATCATACATCGTGTTGCCATCATACATCGTGTATCCATCATACATCGTGTTGCCATCATGCATCGTGTTGCTATCATATATACATCGTGTTGCCATCATACATCGTGTTGCCATCCTACATCGTGTTGCCGTCATACATCGTGTTGCCATCATACATCGTGTTGCCATCATATATACATCGTGTTGCCATCATACATCGTGATGCCATCATACATCGTGATGCCATCATACATCGTGTTGCCACCATACATCGTGTTGCCATCATACATCGTGTTGCCATCATACATCGTGTTGCCATAATACATAGTGTTGCCATCATACATCGTGTTGCCATCATACATCGTGCTGCCATCATACATCGTGTTGCCATCATACATCGTGTTGCCATCATACATCGTGTATCCATCATACATAATGTGTTCAATTTTGTTGGCATTCGTGGAACAAGCGAATTTCGGGACATTCATTGGACGGTAGGAATTTACGATCAACACGCAATTTCCAATACGTACATTTTGAAATCAGTGAATTGAATTCTAATCTTTTAAACTATCCGTATAAATTTACGATCATAAATAAAAATATTCAGCGAAAACACAATTTTCATTGAAGTACTGTTTGGCGTTCGATATTTGGAATGTGTTTTTTCCTGTTATCAAGGAACAGAACAAGGTTGAAGCGTTGATGGACGTCTAGCAGTGGAGCACTGAGTTTTGCCCTCGCATTTTACTGCAGTCCTCTCAAAGAAATCAACAGCCATCTTATCGGGAAGCTTTCAGAAGGTCAAGCAGCTTGGCTCAACCCTCAGAATCGCCAACTACGAGAGAAAGTTCAAACACAAGCCCCCGAAAACAGCAGCAGAAAACGGCACTAAATTTTGTCGTGAATTTAATCCAACAAAGATCGATTGGCTGCGTTGAAATCCACGTCTGCGTGTAAGTCATAAATTTTAGCTATGTTTATGGATTTATCTTGTTTTTTATTTTGCTGTTAAACTGGAATATTTTTTTCTGGACCTATGTTGTTATTGCAAATAATCCGTATAATCATTGAGATATTTCCCACTTAATACGGACGGCTACACTCAATGATATAATATTTCCTTCGCTAATACGGAATGTTCTCACGGTTTTTCAAATGTCTATGTCTTTTGTACGGCGAACTTCTTCGATCAAAAAGTCATTTATTGCGCGTAAATCTCGCCATCACCCGAGTTATAGCAGACATGCGCATGAGGTGCGCATAAAGCGCCGTTACCTCAGAATCAGATCACGCGCACTCAACAAAGGTGAAATGTATCACCGCTGCCCGATAATCTGGTGATACATGCGAATTATGCCACAAGATCAATGCCTATCGTGCGAAGACTGCGACGATTTCAGAGCAGACTTGTTTTTATCGCAACGCCTCCAGCGAAAACTGGAGAAAAATGTACACTTAAACTTTCCAGATGAAGTTTCCTTATAAAAACAAAAATGCAAGACTGCTTGGCTGGTCGTGACTTGTAGTCCTACAAGTCGACCGTAAGTTTGGACGACGAAAGTACAGTAATTCGGTTTCTTTGTGAACGAGCGTTCAAAATTATTGAAATCTTCGTCAATATATTTAATTCATGTCATGACTATATATTCTGCGACGACGCAACAAAATCGTGAAATAGGATTGAACTGAACCAGATCTTGAATACGTTATTCAAGTTATTTATGCTACTTGTCACCTCTAAACACTTGCATGCTTCCTTTCTACTACTTGCCCACTGATTTAACCACTTGTTCTCATTTAGCCACTCGCCCCTTTTAAACCTTTGTACCATTTTTTCCACTCGCCTCTTTTAACCTTTTGCTACCAGGAATGCCTTGCTCCTTTCACCACTTGCTCCCTTTCGACTACTTTCCCCCTTTAAACTAAACTGCTTGCTCCCTCTCGACAACTTATACCCTCTTTAACTATTTGTTCCCTTGTGGCTACTTGCCCTTTTTAACCACTTGCTCCTGTTTGGTCACTTGCTCTTTTTGGTCACATGCCTCCTTTAAACCAGTTGCTTCTTTTTTAGCCACTTTACCATTGCTCCCGTTTTACCGCGATGTCTCATCCTGTTCAAGACTGACAAAAGTAATGTATTTTC